CTCTCTTGTCAACTGCTCTTCTCTATCTTATCAACTGCTCTTGTCCTCAGGCGGGAGGTGATCTGAACCTGGCGTCGGCATACTCGCAGAGTTTCGCACCCATCTTCAACATCATCCTGTGGACGTCGATCGTGCTCGCACTGGCCGTGTTCGCAGTCAGCTACGGCATCTGGGTGATGGACCCGGGCCGAGACAGCGTCATCTACCGGATGACTAGCCAGCGCATCAAGAAGGACCAGTAACAGTGGCGAGAAGGATGGAGGAAGAGAGGAGGAGAGGAGAGGAAGGAGAGAGGGGGAAGGGGGAGGGGGGAGAGAAGGACCAGTAAAACTTACCCGGCACGTAGCGGCGAGAAGGACGGAGGAAGAGAGGGAGAGGAGAGGGGGAGAGGAGGAGGAGTTGAGAGCGGAGAGAGGAGAGAGAGGGAGGCGAGAAAGGGGAGACAGGATGATGAGAGAGGGGGAGAGCATGTGTGTCGAGGCACGGCCACTGATCTGTACGTGATAACTGGATAGCGTGTAACTGTTGCGGAAATTACGAGGCGTTCATAAATCTGTGGGATTGGTGATAAAACTTAATCGGAATCAATTGGGTATTCGATAACGATCAATCGTTACCAAAGGTTATCGAGTTATCAACGATGATTGACAGTGATAGACGTTGTTATATTAACACGCTGAACTATTATTACAACTGATTGTTAACTGAATTATACTAAACGATTCTTGGGTGACGAATGAGGCAGCCTCTCACCTGCTAGGATAATATAAAATGATGATGATGGCGATAATGATGATGATGATGGCGATGATGATGGTGATGATGATGATGATAGTTGATAGGACAGTGCGCTTTCTAGTGATAATATATAGTTCAGCTACCGACCCTCGCAAATACTGCTCGCTTGAAATGCCGGTGCCGTTTTGTTTTCGTTCTGCTATTCGTAGTGTACAATGATCGACACAAAATTTCCTTATAGAATTTGCGAAATGCAGTGGCTTTGGCAGATCCAATCGGGGATGAAAGTGGTGTGAGAATGCGTGTGCTCACCGCAAATGCCGAAAAAAGAACAATTTAGTCATACAATGTTGTCATGATTCTATAAAAAGAACAATTTAGTCATGCAATGTTGTCATGACTCTATATAAAGGGATTCTAGCCATACACACCTCGTTGTGTCCCACCTACCGGCTTGGCTTCGACCTGCCCTTTGAATCAATTCGGCTGACTGAGTTTTGGATAGCTCTGGGGGAAATAGAGAATAATATTGGCGGGCAATATCAGGTAGAATATTCGTATTCGGACAGCATACTCCAGTTATAAATGTTCATCTTGTGTTTCGAATGAAATGGTAATGCACGTGCACACGCGATTTGTTAGTGAGAAGTATACGTTCGTTGGTGGTCCTGTGCCAGTAGTGTCCGCGTAACCAGTCAATCAGTATCATTATTACGCAATCTCCAGTTGTATCTGTTCAATGACTACATCTACGTGGAGAAAATCGTTCTGAATTCACCTGAGCGGTGCCACAAACAACTGCTGGTAATTGCTTTAATCTCTGTATGAGAGCCACAGCTATTAATTATATTTTCTCGAGAAACTACTGGATGTCAGCAGCGCGTGGAAATCCGACGTCATTCCTGTCGTCAGAAGCAGGATGTATGCGCAAAGTAGTTTACATACAGTAATATACAAATACATACAATAATACCATACCTACATACAGTGCTCGATACATTCATCACAAATTACAATTACATTACAGTTTACAATACACTAATTACCATTTGATATAATCGCTTAAATCTGGATCGGTTAAGTAATTGGATATTACACAGACGTATTGTAATCAGAGGTGTTGATGATCAATTTATTTAAACGTATATTGGGTAATAAACAATAATTATAGCTTTATTGTCTGAAAATTGCCGTAAGAGTTGCGAGTTGTATTCGTTTCTACACAACGCAGTGTCTCGCGATATCCGGATGTAATATATTAATATGAAAGTGGCGTGACTAGTTGATACATTTTGTTAAGTTTCTACTTTATTGTGAATATTTGTCATTTGTATAGGTCGAGTTGATCAATGAGAGAAGCAGTGATTTGTGTTATTCCACAACTGCGTGATCCGATACCAGTTAAGAAGGCGTGGTGTTGCCTTCCCCAGCTCCTAGTTGCTAGCAACTAGTTCCTTCGTGTTACGCGTGTACCTACGTAGCCGTGACTTGTGAAACTAGAAGCTATTCGTAAATACCAAGTATCCACTCAATAAGAGATAACTTCTACTAGACTGACTAACGGACTAATATCCGTACGCTTTCATCAACACGAGTTGCAGCGTTATGAAGGAGTTCGTACAAACATGATGCGTACCCATGACAACGGTGACGCGACCACGTTGTTAATTTCATGTGTACGAATGTTATGTAATAGCCTTTTGTAGGAAATGTGACGCAATCTATAATACGTTTATGAACAGTGTGTGTGGAAAATGTTCAGTCTCTTAATGGATTTGTGATCATTGTCAACAAACAGGTAAATGAACAGATTCGGAATCGTCGATGTGGTATAGCTACCGCTAGTGTCTAAATTAATTGCATAATGATCTGTTCTCCAATTTACAATAACAGGCAATAATAGGATGTTATCAGTTTGCTTTGTGGGAGTATTAATACGTGTAACATCATGCAAGTGAATAAAATGTTTTAGGTGACTAGGAACAACGGTTGTTTGGTCAGTTTGTCAGTGTAATTCTCACTCGCTGTTAGCTGTATCAGTAGTGAATAATAATAGATTATCTACTATTATTCACTATTAATTACATTAATAGTATTTAATTAAAGTAAAAATAATAAGAAATTAAATAAGCTATGTTATGTTATGTTATGTTATGTTATGTTATGTTATGTTATGTTATGTTATGTTATGTTATGTTATGTTACGTTACGTTACGTTACGTTACGTTACGTTACGTTACTGTACGGTACGTTACGTTACGTTACGTTACTGTACGGTACGTTACGTTACGTTACGTTACGTTACGTTACTGTACGTTACGTTACGTTACGTTATGTTATGTTATGTTATGTTGCGTCGTATATCATATCATATCATATTATGTATTATATTGTATTTGGTTATATCTTATATTGTTAATAAATGTGGTAATTAATAGTGTCGTGTGATGACACCGAAACGAACAAACATAGAAACCTGAGAAATATAAAGCAATAACGAGTCTACACAGTAGGAATAAATACGTATAATTACATACTCCGATATGAATCCAAAGCGAGCGAACACAATTTTTCCGTGATTGATTTGTCCCGTAAAACTATTCTCGGTCTGTAATATTCCGCACTCGTTGAGATCATTCCGACCGAAATCGCGTGTTCCTTTGAAGATCGGTCAGAAATTCAATCAAATATGTGCATTTTCACTGTGTAGCATTCACGCGCCGTGACACACATTAGTAAAAGATATGACGGCCTATTGAAGGAAAGGAAATTGAACCAAATTGGATTACATTATAAGTGTTTCGTGACGATCATGGTCATGGACGATAAATCTTGTCACAGCCTGATGGCGATTAATTCAACACTATTGTACGACCAGTCGACCGATCGCTCGTTTAACGATGATTAAATTTAAATGTATATATTTGGCGTACTGGGAGGCGAGCACATAAATCCATCCAGAGTTTAATTCAGCAATTGTGAAGCTAAAGTGGAGCCCATTTGTATTGTCAGAGTCACGTAATAGTCGCAGTGATAACCCGTTAGTAATCGGCGGATAATGGCGAAGCGACCAGATTCTTACAAATAAGTGTCAATCTCTCGAATCTTTTGCGCTTTCAGTGATTATGGCAGCGATGCGTGCTTTAATAGATCACTATGACGGATGGGGGCGAGCGGAAGAGAGCGGTGGGCAGGACCGCAGCCCGGCCAGCGGCTGACTGATTGCCTCTTTGTGGGCAATTAATCTGGCCTTGTACGCATTTGCCAGCGCTGCGCTACTACCTCGGCCCAGGCGCTCGCGCTCGCGCCCTCCCCGCTCTTAAGTCAAACCTGTTTCTACTTCTCTCTTATCAACTGTCTTATCTCTCTTTATCAACCGCCTAGCTTCTCTCTCTTATCAACTGTGCTAATCTTCTCTCGCTTTTACTTTCTCTTATGCACTGTTCTACTTCTCTCTTATCGACTGCTCTTGCCTTCAGGCGGGAGGCGATCTGAACCTGGCGTCGGCATACTCGGAGAGTTGGCGACCGATCTCAACATCATCCTGTGGACGTCGAGTGTGCTCGCACTGGCCGTGTTCGTCAGTCAGCTACGGCAATCTGGGTGATGACGCCGGGCCGAGACAGCGTCCATCTACCGGATGACTAGCCAGCGCATCAGAAGGAGCCAGTAACAATGGCGGAAGAAGGATGGAGGAAAAGAGAGCGAGGAGAGGAGGGAAGGAGAGAGGCTGGGGAGGGGGAGGGGGGAGAGAAGGCGCAAGTAACACTTACCGGCACGTAGCAGCGGATGACGGAGGAAGAGACAGTAGAGAGGAGAGCGGGAGGAGCGAGAGGAGGATGCGGTAGAGCCGAGAGAGGAGAGCAGAGGGAGGCGCCAGAAGGGGAGACAGGATGTGAGAGAGAGGGCAGGAGAGCATGTGTGTCGGGGCACGGCCAACTGATCTGTCGTGATAACTGGATATGCGGTAACTGTTGCAGAAATTACGATGGCGTTCATAAATCTGCTGGGATTGGTGATAAGAACTGTAATCGCGAGATCAATTGTAGGTATTCGATAAACGATTGCAATCGTTAGCTAACGGCGTAGTTATCAATCGAAGGATATGACAGTGATAGACGTTGTTATATTAACACGCTGAAACTATTATTACAATGATCTGTTAACTGAATTATACTAAAGCGATTCTTGGGTGACGAAAGTGCGGGCAGCCTTCACCTGCTAGGATAATATAAAATGATGATGATGGCGAATAATGAGATGATGATGGCGATGATTGATGGTGATGATGATGATGATAGTTGAGTATAGGCAGCTGCGCTTTCTAGTGATAATATATAGTTCAGCTACCGACCCTCGCAAATACTGCTCGCTTGAACTGCCCGTGCCGTTTTGTTATTTTCGTTTCTGCCTATTCGTAGGTGTACAATGATCGACAACAAATGCTCCTTATAGAATTTGCGAAATGCAGTGCTTTGGCAGATCCAATCGCGGGATGAAATGGTGTGAGAATGCGTGTGCTCACCGCAAATGCCGAAAAAATAACAATTTAGTCATACAATGTTGTCATGATTCTATAGAAAAGAACAATTTAGTCATGCAATGTTGTCATGACTCTATATAAAGGGATTCTAGCCATACACACCTCGTTGTGTCCCACCTACCGGCGCTTGGCGTTCGACCTGCCCTTTGAATCAATTCGGCTGACTGAGTTTTGGATAGCTCTGGGGGAAATAGAGAGAAAATATTGGCGGCAATATATCAGGTAGAATATTCGTATTCGCAGCCATACTCCAGTTAATAAACCTTCATCTTGTGTTTCGAATGCAAATGGTAATGCACGTGCACACGCATTTGTTAGTGAGAAGTATACGTTCGTTGGCTGGTCCTGTGCCAGAGTGTCCGCGTAACCAGTCAATCAGTATCATTATTACGCAATCTCCAGTATGTATCTGTTCAACTGACTACATCTACGTGGAGAAAATCGTTCTGAATTCACCTGAGCGGTGCCACAAACAACTGCTGGTAAATTGCTTTAATCTCTGTATGAGAGCCACAGCTATTAATTATATTTTCTCGAGAAACTACTGGATGTCAGCAGCGCGCGTGAAATCCGACTCATTCCTGTAGTCAGAAGCAGGATGTATGCGCAAAAGTAGTTCACACTACAGTAAATATACAAATACATACAATAATACCATCCTACATACAGTGCTCGATACATTCATCTACAAATTACAATTACATTACAGTTTACATACACTAATTACCTTTTGATATAATCGCTTAATCTGGATCGGTTAAGTAATTGGATATTACACACACGTATTGTAATCAGAGGTGTTGATGATCATTTATTTAAACGTATATTGGGTAATAAACAATAATTATAGCTTTATTGTCTGAAAATTGCCGTAAGAGTTGCGAGTTGTATGTCGTTTCTACACAACGCAGTGTCTCGCGATATCCGGATGTAATATATGTAATAGAAAGTGGGCGTACTAGTTGATACATTTTGTTAAGTTTCTACTTTATTGTGAATATTTTCATTTGTATAGGTCGAGTTGATCAATGAGAGAAGCAGTGATTGTGTTATTCCACAACTGGCGTGATCCGATACCAGTTAAGAAGGCGTGGTGTGGCCTTCCAGCTCCTAGTTGCTAGCAACTAGTTCCTTCGTGTTACGCGTGTACCTACGTCAGCCGTGACTATGTGAAACTAGAAGCTATTCGTAAATACCAAAGTATCCACTCAATAAGAGATAACTTCTACTAGACTGACTAACGACTAATATCCGTACGCTCTCATCAACACGGATTGCCAGCGTATGAGGAGTTCGTACAAACATGGTGCGTACCCATGACAACGGTGACGCGACCACGTTGTAATTTCATGTGTACGAATGTTATGTAATAGCCTTTTGTAGGAAATGTGACGCAATCTATAATACGTTTATGAACAGAGTGTGTGGAATATGTTCAGTCTCTTATGGATTTGTGATCATTTCAACGAAACAGGTAAATGAACAGATTCGGAATCGTCGATGTGGTATAGCTACCGCTTAGGTCTAAATTAATTGCATAATGATCTGTTCTCCAATTTACAATAACAGGCTAATAATAGGATGTTATCAGTTTGCTTTGTGTGGAGTATTAATACGTGTAACATCATGCAAGTGAATAAAATGTTTTAGGTGACTAGGACAACGGATTGTTTGGTCAGTTTGTCAGTTGTTAATTCTCACTCGCTGTTAGCTGTATCAGTAGTGAATAATAATAGATTATACTATTATTCACTATTACATTACATTAATAGTAT